CTTAGGCTTGAAGTTAAACTTCTTGATACCCTCCAACAGGGTTGTCTTCTTCTGCTTGGCGCTCTCAAACTTCGTGGGATCATCCGCGAGTTCTGGAGTAGGTCCTCTCGTCGGATCAGTACCTCCAGGGGAGAGTCTATCAGTTGAGACGTCGGGCGTGAGGTTGTCCCTGCGTGCCTCCTCCACCTGTGATCGAGTCATTGGGTCTGAGGCATGTTCAGGCGGGGAGGAGCTAGTAGTTCCCCATGCTACCAAAGACTTTAACACAGCGACCAAGCATTCCAACCCCTGCCTTCGGAGCTGGGCCTCCGAGTTACCGATGGTGGAGACATCGACATTCCCTGGTATGGATAGAGAAGCGGTGCTGAACGAGGGGGGCACCTGACCAGACCCATGGTGCTGCCTCGTCTGCGGTTGGAGGGCAGGACTATTTGGATCGTTGGTCTTCTGGGGTACGGACGAGATAGGAGCCGTCCCTATCTTGGAGATAATGTTCATGACACTGTGCATTCGTTAGGCAAGCGATTCCGTGTGAATATTATGCACGCACTGCTCGTAAATGTTATCGACCGCCTCGCTATCGCAGTCGTAATTCAAGTAGATTTCGACAAGTGCCTGCGGGTCCTGGCAGAGCCGTTGGAGCATGCTCAGTATAACAGCCTTTTGCTTCAATGTTGAGGTCTTCATCTCGAGAATGGGGATGAAAATTTCATGGAGGAGTACTTCTATCTCTTTCTACAGAGGCAATTAGTATCATCAACGAGTGCAGCATAGAAAAACCCAACCTTCAACTTGGTACGGAGACCAGAGATTACTCTCCAAAAGATCTCGACACTAATCTCGAAGACTTGGGGGACAGGACTGACGGCGTTCCGACTCAAGGCCAAACATAAGTATTGGTTCGCAGCCTGTATGAACGGCGTAGCGTCGTTCGAAGACGAGGAGTAGATGATAGCGGAGGGGGAGACAAAGATAGGCATATGAGAGTTTAGAATCATGAGGACGAGGTGTAGAGAGAGCAACTTGGATCGCATGGCGTGAGACTTCAAGTCACGCTCGCTGTCGGTTTTGTAAGAGAGAGAGAACGTCTGTGCATGCATATCGCTTACCTCTCGCTGTTGAGAGGCTTCATGGTCAACTTGCATAACGCTCGGAATACGAGAAACGCGTCCTTGATGAACAAGTCGTTTGTCGTGAGTTGGTGCCGTACGGCATCTGTCGGATCACCGTCTTCAGGGACAGCTTCACTCGCGGCATACTCAGACGGCTCCCGTCTGAGTCACAGTCAGTGATAGTAATTGCGTTTCTGTGCATATGGCAACCTACGTTGCGCGACGCGACTCATTCATATCGGAGCTCCGTGGCCCATCAGATGCGTCGCCGTTCGATGTCCCTTCTGCTGACACCACCGAAGCTGCACTTGCTGGTGTACCGTCAGGCTCCTGGACCAGAGTGGGTACAGTCTCCTCGGAACCATTTGTCGCAGACGGCGACGGGGGCAGCGGTATTGAGTTCCGCGGAGACAGCACCACAGAAGGGCGCTTCGAGGACCTACCACTATCACTCTCACGCACTGAGAGCGTGGTCGTAGAGTCGCTCTGGAAGGATGAAACACCTAGCTGGCACCGTGCGAAAACGTGGTTCACCATCTGAGTGAGTCCCCCCTGAGCTACCGTCTGGTTGACAGGATCGATACTCAGCAAGAAAATGTTGTAGACGGTACGAACGGCCTTCAAAAGGGATGATTGGTGAACAAGAACAGTCGGCGAAAGCACGAGAGCGAGTAAGGCCTTGACAATTTGGAGAGAAACTGTCTCGGGAGTGCTCTCGTTGTGACACGAGGTGATGGTGTGGACGACAAGGTCGACGAGAGATGGTGGTTGAGGCGATGCATGCGAACCATTGGTGATCGAGTTACGAGAATTAGGACCTGGTGAGGGGGGTGGAGAGTTCGGCGCTTGAGGTGTTGACGAAGCCTCGGAGAAAAAGGAATACGAGATGAGCTTCGAGATGCAGTCCAAACTTGCAATCATCAATTTCTCGCTACGCGTCTCACAAGCCAGACGCAGCGGCTCGAAAATATCCCTGGGGCGGTCACCACCTTGCCCAGACTTCACCATCTCCAATGCATGTTGCACGCTTTCCCGCAGAGGAGCCGACCGTTTTGCTTCCTTGGATGAAGCAATAGTTTCCAATGCAGATGAAATAAGAACAACTGAGACGGTGTTCCCCTTGGAGAGCGTCAGCGAGCGTTTGTGCGAGTCCGAGGAAGTTCTCTTTGGGAAACGACCATTAGGCGTAGACGGTCTGCTATCTACCGAAGGTCGAAAATGGCCATTTGCAACGCGCGGGGACGATGGTAGGATAGGTTCGCGCCGCGCAGCGGGAGATGCGGGTGTAGAGGGGACTGGCTTTGCAGGGGGCGTTGGGGGAGGGGCAGAGTCTTCACTATCGCGTACATGGTCATAGGTGTCTTGGGAGGGCGCATTTAACGTTTGGACGGATGGCTCAGACGGAGCCGGACCATCTGGCGGGTACGTGGGAGCCTGGGTGACAGTCGGGGTGGTAGCGTCCAGTTGCGGCGGAAACTCACCCTCCGAGTCGCGCTCTACGGGAGTTGAAGGCTCCGTCGACCTGGCGCGGTTCTCGTTGCCAGGATCCCTCATAGTGGCGAAGTGGGATAGGATGTTTGGCATGGGCTCATCATGGGGCGGCGGGGATGGGGGCAACGGGATAGAGGCCTCGTGAATGGGGTCGGCGGAGTCCATTGTGGCCTGCGTGAGCCCTAGAGGCTTCCAGGTCGTTGGCGGCGTTGGCGCAAGCTTGGCGGGCTTGCGGCAGGGGTCTTGTCGCTGTCAGAGTCGCGGTTCGCGGTCGAGGGAGGGCGGTGTGTTGCTCCATCACGAGACGCGTAGCTTCTTCCGGTAACAGAGCGCAGTCGAGCCCTCCATCTAATCTTATCTCTGCCTTTCGTCGGCCCTCGCCGATCTGGTACCGTCGGACTCGATGATCATGGCAGTCGACCACCGTTTCGCTCTCTCCGCCGCTCCCCTCCACTGCCGCCATCCGCCTCTACTAAAAATTATTCAGAACGTCTAACATGGATTCCATTCCCTCCGGCGCATCCGCTGCCGTATTAAAACCCTCAGAACCGATGCCGGACTTCGCGGTGTCGGTGGAAGGACCGGACTTCGAGAGGGATATCTCTTTGCGAAAGCTCCTCGAGAGTTACAAAAGGATCGGCTTCCAGGCAAACAGCCTCGGAAAGGCTATAGACATAGTCAACAATATGGTGCGTTCATTTCCTACTCTTTCATGGCGACGTTCAAACGGCTAGCGTAGCGCAAGTGGAGGCTATCGGACGAACCCATCGCTTCAGACGAATCTGAAGAGTTTCTTTCACCCGAAGTTAGGGCGAACACAAAGTGCAACGTCTTCCTCGGATACACTTCAAACTTGATCTCCTCCGGCCTTCGAGAGATTATTCGATATCTGGTGAAACATAAACATGTTAGCGCAATTGTTACGACCGCCGGTGGTATCGAGGAAGATTTCATCAAGTGCCTCGGCAAGACGTATCTCGCAGACTACAACCTAGACGGCGCAGACTTACGCAAGAGAGGCATGAATCGCATCGGTAACCTCATCGTTCCAAATGACAACTACTGCAAGTTCGAGGACTGGCTCACCCCAATTCTCGACGCCATGCTTGCCGAACAAAAGGAGTCCGGTCAGGTGTGGACCCCGAGTTCTTTCATTCGGCGGCTCGGTAAGGAGATCAACAACGAAGAATCTGTATATTACTGGGCTTACAAGGTGAACAAACGCACCAATCTCCTTCATGACGGTTCCGTGCTGAGCTTGGTGCTGCTTGCATAGAATGACATTCCCGTGTTCTGTCCCGCGCTCACCGACGGGTCGCTGGGAGACATGATCTACTTCCACTCGTTCAAGAGCCCGGGTCTAGTCGTGGACATCGTTCAGGATATCCGTAACCTCAACGAGCTGTCGCGAAAGTCAAGAAAGGCGGGGATGATCATCCTTGGTGGTGGTGTCTGCAAGCACCAAATTGCAAACGCCATGCTTATCGTAGGTGGCCCACAGTTGAGTGGAAGTTAGATCCACTGACGAAGTCTTACACCACAGCGTAACGGTGCTGATTACTCTGTCTATATCGTAAGTTGCTCGGCTTATCAGGTTGTTGCTCAAAGTCATGTCGACGTATCCAGAATACTGGGCAGGAATTCGATGGGTCGGATTCGGGTGCGCGGCCGGATGAAGCAGTTTCATGGGGTAAAATCCGCGCCGGATCAGAATCCGTAAAGGTGGGCTACACCCACTAAAGAGTGTTATATGTTTTGATTGTTTCTGTAGGTTTTCGCGGATGCGACCTTGGTCTTTCCCCTAGTCGTTGCGGCGACTTTTGGTCAGCCGGACACACAAGAATAAATACCGATGGGCGTCGTTAATGGGTCACTGTAGCATACTATAGCATATACCTACTGTAGCACATAAGTAGAATCCATCACTCCGGCCAGCACATACACAGATCATGGCTTCGAGCAATCGCTTTCGGTTACCCAGCGGTGACGGCGTAGGCCACACAGGGTCTTGCGGTAGGACGTCCAGACGGTGCTCAAGATGCCGCCGATGTACAATAATACTTACTTACTCAGGCGGTGGCTAAAGTGCTCGTTCTACGCTGTGTCGAATGCCCAATAATCAAGCGGTAGTTGCGACTACCGAACTCTTATACTGGGCCTAGGATCGACAATCTTGTCGCCCCATAGCTTTGATGTTGGTGCGACTACGACACTAGCTAGGCGTCGCACGACCCGGCGCCTTGTCGGGGCAATGTACACAGTACCCTCGTTATTCGACTATCATCCACGCACGCTGAGTCGGTACATGATATTACTGCTTCGATGCCCCATGGACGAGGCCAAAAGTGGAGAAAATGTTTCTGAATGAAGGTTGACGATTCAAAAATTAGGACCCAATGACCACCGCAGGGGTCGAACCTGCAATCTCCTGATGGCGCACATGCTTGAACATGTCGTAGTCAGACGCGATGCCATTTCGCCAGGCGGCCGGTGATGTTTGTAAATATGGTAACAATTCATGAGCAAAACCATGAGTACCATACCTTTAACGACAACAAATCTGACCCGGCTCGACGTTCGTTGAGTTACAAGACGTGTCATGATGCGCGAAAAACTCGTGCAACTGATGAACCGATTCAGCCTACGGCCAGACATCGCCTTCATGAGTGAGCTGCGTACGATCGCAGAAAAAGAATGTTGGGATATGTATGTACCTCGGTTGATCTCCCCTTGCCAGAGGATAAGGTCGTCCCGCATAAGTTGCAATATCATCAGAGAGTCCTCCAGATTCGCGACCGTCGCAGGAGACTCAGATGCTGCAGATACGGCCTTGTCGAACGCATGTTTAGCAAGATGGCATGCCCTTTCAGGGCTTCGCATGATGTCGTGAAAATAAACGGCAAAATTGAGGGCCAAACCAAGGCGCGTTGGATGTGTTGGGGATAGAGTGATAAGCGCGTGCTTGTAAGCGGACTTATAAGCTTCCAATGAAGTCGAAGCGAGATTCTCCTTGGGATGTAGACGAGTGAGCTCGGCAAGGTACCGATAATAGTCCCCTCGCCTTCTCCAGTTAGTAATTGCAGAAACATATGACCCGATGAACTCACATCTTAGAATAGAAGACCATCTCCTCGCCATCATTTGCAGCAGGGATGAGGGTATTTTCAAGAAGATCCACCACGTCCCGGCATAGAGCGTCGATGTCCTTCTCTATCCGTTCTTTCTGGACTCGCATGAGCTTGAGTTCCTGCCGGGTGGACAACAGCACCTCCTTCTTCTGCAATGCATCAATCGTGCGCCAGCTCGAACGGAGCGTAGCGGTCAAGTTCTTGTAGGCTATAGACAGCAAATTTCGTTCGTCGATCGTGAGTTGTGGGCCGCTTGTAATAACAATATCCTTGAGTTGGTTGATGACGTCTGGGGGCATATATGTAGGTAAAAGCTGATCCCAAACGTGAACGATGGGGTCGGCGGAAAGTACCTTGGTAGCGTTCGGCCTGGTCTGCTATCTTCGCCAAGTAGAGGCGGTCAAGTCGTGAGAGAGTGACGTCCATCTGTAATTACAATCGGTGCTCGTCTGTTCGCAGTCAATTCAGGAATGGTACTAGCTTAGCAAAATGCAACATACTGGGGACGTAACCAGATGATATGCACGCGAAATGGAGTGGTGGGGGGAGGGTTCGCTGAGTTGTAGGTGACGGCCTTGGGGAAGCCGAGCTTATATCATAACTTCCCCACATAGGGCAGAGGGGAGGCGACGGTCATGTCTCTGCCGTGCATTGGCGGAAAGCGCTGATGACGTTACAGGCTCATGTCCCGCACGCGTCAGCAATTCTCTGACAGGGACCGGACGTCTAAAGCACTGTAGATGTGAGTTTCTCAGGGAACTGAATGGTCTTCGTGGCTTACCATTGGCGGTGCACTGGTTGAGCATGGTTCGGGCGAGGCTCTCGGAGGCAATGAGGCAACGGAGATACGCGACTGCACAGCTATCACCCGTTTTGGCAACTGTTGTGGTTCAACGACGCATACTGGGTTTCTAAAGCATGACGACGAATGAGCATTCCACTGGCATAGTGGAGCAACTAGTTACGCCATTATATGTTTGTAATTATATGCTGCGTGATACGCGAGCTATACACACACATCTCCGAGAAGTCCAGAGGTGTGATCACGCACATAGTCGATCTTGAAGCTTGACGCCGTCCAACAGTAGGAGTCCGTATCAGATGGTTGTAAGTGATTGGATCTGCACGGTCTCTGCACAGCGGGAAAGCAACTCCACTGTGCTGGAGCAATAATTAAAAACCTACTTCAGCCAAATGACATCAGAAGCTTCCTAGTTATGAAACAGATTACTGCATTTCAAGCCCCGCGACATGATGAATAGAATGCCTAGGCGATGACAAAGGCCGATACACTACTACGCATATCCAAATCGTACACTTCATCCGGACCACACGGGACCACCGGGACTATAATAGTCGTGAGCCAATGAGATCGCCATAGGCTCGACAAAGACTTACGCTGTGTAGCTCTTGAGGTTGTTGTAGATGTTGACTGTGATACCGGGGTCACCGGACTTGTAGTCTCCGGGAATGGCTATCTTGGGCGGGTTTGCGCTGCCTCCACCAGTGATCTTGACCTGTGCACAACCTGTAAAAATCCCAGGTCAAAATCGGTGAATTTAACCAAATGATGCAGGAATCGACTTACCAATGTACTATTGCGGAAAAACAGACGCGCCATCAAAAATATGTTGAAGATACCTACTAGGGACTGTACTTACAAATTGAGCACCAGGGTAGCTCTGGGCAACGTGGAGCGCGATCTGTGTCAAACGAATGCTTAGTACGGCCACGCCGTGTAGCTCAACAGCTGGGCAACAACAGACTCACGATCTCAGCACGCAAGAGGTACTCGCCCGCCGGCAGTGACGAGGGAATCACGACGCTGTGCTTGCCTGAAATGCAATCAGCGACGCTTGAACTATCAAGCACATAGACTCCCTACCATTATCGGCGTTTACGACATCCGTCGCCCACTCCTGCGTTTGGGGGTTGAGGAGACCCGACGAGTAGATCTTGGTCCAGACAGCGCCTTGACCATCGAAAGACGCGGCGGTGGAAGGCGCCTTGGCGATGTAAACCTGAACTGGTCCCTTGTGCCCGCCAGAGATGGCATCTTCGCCAGTGCGCTGGGCGTGCTGATGCCACTCAAATGTAATCTGACCAGATAGTATGTGAGTTGCACTGCGATCATTCAGAGTGTCGGAAAGACACGCTCACGTTAGTGCCGGCGGGGATGGAGACAGTGGAGACACCCGCCCCGGAGAGGCCGTTGACGTTGCAGGTCAAGTCCTTCGAGGTGACATCGGTAACCGGGTTGTTGTTGGGTGGCACACGGATGTCGGCGTTCTGCCCTTGGTCAACCTGCCCAAGAACAGTGTCAACGACGCGTAATTGCCAGTAACACGAGTTACTAAATAACCCACGCCGTTCACCCAGATGTATTGCATAGTGACTTGAGGGGATCAAGATTAGTACGTTGCGTAGAATCGCAACGCGCCACGACTTACAGTGGGCATTGGCGCCGATAGCGGCCGTAGCCAGTGTAGCGAGGAGTGTGAGCTTCATGTCAGGCGATCGCAACGGGGTGAGGTTGTCCTGGTGAACCATCGTGCATTTATACGCCAAACGTAGTGATTCCTCTTCCTGATCTGCCGCGCGAGCGGGTGCTTCTGGCTTGGCATCCCCTGGTGACTGAGCAACCTCGAGGATAGTCGAAGGCGCTTCGGCGATTTATGCTTGCGTGACTACGGCGACTATTGGCGGAGGATCCGGCGGCAGAGTACCGGATGTGAGATCGTATTGCAGTGAGCGCAAAATAGAGGTCACGATGGTATATGCACTCCCGAAGTTGAGGCGGTACGTATTAGGAAAGGATATACGTCGGGACGTCGCACTGTGTTTATCGACTAAGCTGCTGGTGAGGAGCGCGTTATGTGAGCCATGTTGCTGTCATCTGGCGGTCATGAACAAACGCCGCTGGTCATTACCGATCCGTATGGTTGCCGCGGCGAGGAGGGATAGTCTGCTTCTGCAGGGTTCCAGAGCCTCTTCTAGAAGAACGCACGTGTTAACGTTGCCAGCTCGATAACATAGAATCCGTCAGTAGCGAATCAACTGTGGAATCAAAATTAAGCAGGTCGACCCGCGCGAGAGCTGCACGTGGGTATAATAGGTAGCAGCAATTACATGTGTCCGAAACCTACTAGGTTGGTCAGCGTTATTTTCCTCGGCAAAACTCCGTGGGCATACGTATAAGAATAGCATCCCTTTGCTTAGGTGACTATGACGGGCGTGGGAGCACTAGGCGAGGACTAATCGGATCCCGCATCCTGTTGCCTTGGTTCGGACTAGGGCCATGAACTCGCTGAGAGCCGAGCCATTTTGAGAAGCCGAGCGTTTAACCTTCTTATACCAAACAAAACATTACAATGCCTGTTGTACTTCGTAGTATTGTTTGTTATCTTCTGATGGTACACATTCACGACAATTGCGTTGCGGGGCGAAGGTCTGGTTCACCAGCCGAGCTGCTGATACGTCCAACCCCAAACCTTCCCGAACTCATTCGCGTAATTGCAGAGCCGTTGGTTGCGGTCGAGCGCGGTGATTCGCTCGACGTCCTCAGGATTGAGGGTCAGAAGCTGAGCAATGCCACGTCGCATATGAGTTAGCATGCGCTTCACGGGGACTCAGCGGACTCACGTTCAAATTGTCCTTTTGCCTCTGCTCGTTGGAGCTCTTGGGGACGACGGAGACGCCTCTGGCGACGTGCCAACTGAGGACTATCTGAGCCGGAGTGGACTTGTACTCCTCAGCCAGCTCGGTGATAGTAGGATCGGTGAGCACGTTCTTGTATCCTGTGCAGCACATAAGCATAACGCCGTTAGAGTGAGTTTAATCTCGCCTACCCGTGGGCGTGTACGCAGTAAGGACAATGCCCTTTTCGTCGCAGTACTTCTTAAGAGCAGGCTGGGCGAGGTATGGATGCAACCTTCAGCGGGGTCAGTAATGCCATACATGGAGAGAATGGAAGCTTGTACGACTCACTCAACCTGGTTTACCGCGGGTACGATCTTCGCCGTCTCTAGCAATTTCTCTAGGCTGAGGAGATGTAAGATGGGGGCAGGAAAGCGAAAATAATGCACCCTGTACACACTTCTGGACAGAAAAATTGCTGACGCCAATAGCCTTAGCCCGCCCGCTTTCGTATAATTTCTCCATGTCAGCCCATATTTCGTTGAATATGGGACGATCGAGCACCACGAGATTTCCGTCTTCATCCACTGGTTCGGGGTCGCCCTCTATTTATCAAGATACTATTAGTCTGACCGATGACAAGTGAGACAGGCATCTTACCAACATATTGAGATGTTTGAGGCCAATGCATCAGATACTATGGCGGTAGACTGTCAAAGGATTGC